ACACTGTTTATTGAAAAGGACAGCTGCTCCATTGCTGGGTGGCTTTAGAAGCAATATTTCTGTCTTAAACGACATTACTGAACCCACCGGCCGGCTCTGAGAGCGCGTCAATCAGCCGCGGGCTTCCAGGAGGGCCCATACACGAGCCGCTCGGCAGAATAAAAGGACGAGACATGCTGACGGTGGTTAGGATGGGTGATCAGGAGATGGGAGAGCGACAGAAACCCCAAGATAAGGCCACTGGGAGAGAGGGGGGGGGGGCTCATTTATTTATTTCAGGTACTTATATAGCGCCATCAATTTACGCAGCGCTTTACATATATATTGTACATTCACATCAGTCCCTAACCCTCAGGGGGGGTACAATCTAAATCTTCATACATACACATACTAGGACCAATTTAGACAGGATCCAATTAACCTGCCAGCATGTCTTTGGAGTGTGGGAGGAAACTGGAGTACCCGGAGGAAACCCACACAGGCACAGGGAGAACATGCAAACTCCAGGCAGGTGGTGCCATGGTTGGTATTTGAACCAATGACCCTAGTACTGCCAGACGGAAGTGCTAACCATTTAGTCATTGTGCTGCCTTCATGCACTGAGCAGAATATAAATATTACACTCCATCTAAACGCTTTATTTATTACAGGTACTTATATAGCGCCATCAATTTACGCAGCACTTTACATATATATTGTACATTCACATCAGTCCCTAACCCTAAGGGGCCCTCAAGGGGTGTACAATCTAAGGTCCCTAACTCAAGGGGCGTACATTCATACAATCTAAGGTCCCACCCTCAATACAATAGGGCCCTAACTCACATTCATACATACACAACTAGGGACAATTTAGACAGGAGCCAATTAACCTACCAGCATGTCTTTGGCGCGTGTAGGAGGAAACCAGAGTACCCCCACACAGGCACAAGGAGAACACGCAAACTCCAGGCAGGTGGTGACATGGTTGGGATTCGAACCAACGACCCTAGTACTGCCAGGCAGAAGTGCTAACCATTTAGCCACTGTGCTGCCTTCATGCACTGAGCAGAGCATTAATATTACGCTCCATCTAAATGCTTTTCTCTTGGCAGGAGAAAAGCATCTTCATAAAGCGCTTGGGTATTCATTCATTTAATTGGTCAAAATATTAATTTATTCTGGTCGCTGAAAAGAAAACCACTCAAGAGCGCTTAGACACATTTACATGCATTTATACATATTTTGACTTTTTCGCTAAAACACTCCTCTTTTGTGAATTTTTTTTTCCTGCCTCTAAAACTCACCTAACACCAGTTCACACTAGTGTGACTTTTTGTGCGATTTTGGACATTAAAGTCGCATGACAAGTCGTACCCCGTGTTTTCCAATGATAGCCATTCATATATGTGCAACTTAAAGTTGCAGCAGCTTCAGAGTAGTTCATGCACTACTTTAGTCCGACTTTCATGCAACTCGAGGGTCATAGATTTCAATGTTAACCCTCAAATGTTGCATGAAAGTTGCACCTGAATGTTTTACATGCCACAGTTGTGCAACCGTCCAACTTTGCAGAGGAACAAGTCACATCCAAGTCTCACCCATCCAAAATTGCGTCAAAGTTGCACTCCAAAGTCACGCGACTCTGCAGTTGTACTAGTGAATGATGTCTTAATGCCTATGTGTGCCTGGACACACGGGGGGAGATTGTCCCAGCACTGTATATAGTGACCTCGGTGTGGTGGTATTCATCTTCAGGTTATTACAGAGGACAAGGGGGCACTCTTTACAGCTGGATTTAATCTCCAAACACGGAAAGGCTGCCTTACAGTAAGAGCTGTGAAAATGTGGAATAGACTCCCTCAAGAACTGGTTCTGCCAGCTCAGTGGGTTGTTCAAAAAAAGAGCTGGATACATTCCTAAATGCACAAAATCTAACTGGATAGTGACATTTATAGGAAATAACACCAGGGATTGTTGATCCAGGATATAGCAGATTCCTGGGAGATCAACATTTACGCCACTGCATCCGAGGCTTTGCATTGCACTTGGTGATATAAGGGTTGGATGTAGCTGCTCGGCCATGGAAACCCATTTCATGAAGCTCTCTACGCACTGTTGTTGTACTAATCTGAAGACCACACCAAGTTTGGAGGTCTTTAGCTATTGACTCTGCAGACAGTTGGCGAGTTCTGCGCACTGTGCACTTCATCATGCACTGACCCCGCTCTGTCATGTGACGTGGCCCACCACTTGGTGGCTGAGTTGTTGTTGTTCCCAGTTGCTTCCACTTTGTTATAATCCCACTAACAGTTAGAATATTTAGTAGCCAGGAAATGTCACGGATGGACTTTTTGCACAGGTGACAACCTATCACGGGACCACGCTTGGAGTCACTGAGCTCCTGAGAGCGACCCATTCTTTCACAAATGTTTGTAGAAGCAGTCTGCATGCCTAGGTGATGATTGTATACACCTGTGTCCATGGAGGTGATTGGAACACCTGAATCCAATGATCTGGAGGCCTGGCCCAATTCTTTTGGCAATATAGTGTAGCTCCCAATGGTCCCTCACTGAGAGGCACTGGGGTGGATTTACTAAAGACAAATAGACTGTGCACTTTGTAAGTGCAGTTGCTCTGATTTTCCCCAAAGTTTCGTGAATGTGGAAGAAGGAAGAATACACATGATGAATGTATTTGGACAATATGGGGGGGGGGAATTTACTAAAACTAGAGCTCTCAGAATCTGGTGCAGTTGTACATGAGTAGTCAGTCTGCTTATAACCTCAGCTTGTTCAATTATGATTTCACAATAAAACCTGGAAGCTGATTGGTTTCTATGCAGAACTGCACCAGACTTTGCACTCTCCAGCTTTAGTAAATCTCCTCCTATGCGCTTATCCCGAAGTTCAGCTTTAATAAACAAAAAACTGTGGAGTGACCAGACTGGCAGATAGCGGTGATATTGTCTGTTTTCTATAATTACCTATTGACCGAGATTCATAAATGTCCTCACAGATTTAAAATAAAATGCACTGAATTATCTTGAACCTTGTAACTTAATTAGTCACATTTTATTGGGTTGACATAGTGTGTGAAATCATAATGCAGGGAGTGTTATAATCCACAAAAAGCTGAAAACGCCTATTTCACTGATGGCAAAACTCCAATATTTCACCACTCTGAACCAAAATGCTTTCTTTTAAAGCTACAGGAAGGGAAATGCAGCTGTCACTACAGAGAAGAGCTTGGGGATTCAACAAGCACCTCACTAGGGATAATGGCTTGAAAGTCCAACTCAGGTTCACAAACAAACAATAAAAAACCTGCAATGACCCCCCCCCCCCCCCACCACCACACACTAAGGGTTAAATGTTCAGTAAATCTAGAGATGCAAGGATTTTCCTCGCTCCAGCAAGTTCCTTCCAGCAGAGTGAGCGGTCCCACAAAGCCTCCTCTCTAAGGTGGTCTTGCTCATTGTCGCACTCCATCCTGCCCTCTAAACCAATTTGGACTATGGTCACCCACTTGCCTTCTCTCTAAGGTGCTCTCAGCTGTGGTTGCACTTTTGCCTCCTCTGTAAGGTGCTCTTGGACACAGTTGTCTCCTCTCTAAGGTATTCTTGCATGTGATCGCACTCCTGCCTCCCCTTTAAGGCACTCTTGGCCATGGTTGCATTCCTACCTCCTCTCTAAGGTATTCTTACATGTGGTCATACTCCTGCCTCCTCTTTAAAGTACTCTTGGCCGTGGTTGCACTCCTGCCTCCTCTCTAAGCTGCTCTTGGCCGTGGTTGCACTCTTGCCTCCTCCCTAAGGTACTCTTGGCCATGGTCACACTCATGTCTCCTCTCTAAGGTACTCTTGGCCATGGTCACACTCATGCCTCCTCTCTAAAGTAGTCTTGGCCATGGTCAAACTCATGCCTCCTCTCTAAGGTACTCTTGGCCATGGTCACACTTGTGCCTCCTCTCTAAGGTACTCATGGCCATGGTCACACTCATGCCCCCCTCTCAAAGGTACTCTTGGCCATGGTCACACTCATGCCTCTTCTCTAAGGTAGTCTTGGCCATGGTCACACTCATGCCTCCTCTCTAAAGTAGTCTTGGCCATGGTCAAACTCATGCCTCCTCTCTAAGGTACTCTTGGCCATGGTCACACTTATGCCTCTTCTCTAAGGTAGTCTTGGCCATGGTCACACTCATGCCTCCTCTCTAAGGTACTCTTGGCCATGGTTACACTTGTGCCTCCTCTCTAAGGTACTCTTGGCCATGGTCACACTCATGCCTCCTCTCTAAAGTAGTCTTGGCCATGGTCAAACTCATGCCTCCTCTCTAAGGTACTCTTGGCCATGGTCACACTTGTGCCTCCTCTCTAAGGTACTCATGGCCATGGTCACACTCATGCCCCCTTTCAAAGGTACTCTTGGCCATGGTCACACTCATGCCTCTTCTCTAAGGTAGTCTTGGCCATGGTCACACTCATGCCTCCTCTCTAAAGTAGTCTTGGCCATGGTCAAACTCATGCCTCCTCTCTAAGGTACTCTTGGCCATGGTTACACTTGTGCCTCCTCTCGAAGGTACTCTTGGCCATGGTCACACTCATGTCTCCTCTCTAAGGTAGTCTTGGCCATGGTCACACTCATGCCTCCTCTCTAAGGTAGTCTTGGCCATGGTCACACTCATGCCTCCTCTCTAAGGTACTCTTGGCACCCAGAGGACCCCTGTACACACAGGGAGAATACCCAGACACTATGAAGATACAACAACTCGGCGGGAAATGAAGCCAACCCTAAACCACAAAACCACAGTGCTGTCCCATGTTACTACCCCATAAAAGGACCCTCATAACCAGGAGGATTGGAGACAGAGGAGCAGCTCTGTAACCATTCAAATGTACAATGCATGTTCCCGGAGAAATCCAACGACTGACATTTTACCGTCATTAATTTTTCATGAACAAATGGAAAGCAAAACAATAACACTCTAATTAAAGTGAAAATACTCTGCTTATCAGTGAAGTTAAATGCATTTAATGCGTGAAGGCCGATCCTTATGGAATGGAGTATGAATTCACCAGGAGGAGACAAAGAATAAAAAATGGACATGATTGGCAATTTCTATGCTTTGGATATTTGGACTGTGGCCCTTATGACACATCCACTACTTGAAGTGTTACTAAACCTTTGACCCTGCATTCACTTTACCTGGTCTCCCCGGACCCTGCATTCACTTTATCTGGTCTCCCCGGACCCTGCATTCACTATATCCGGTCTCCCCGGACCCTGCATTCACTTTATCTGGTCTCCCCGGACCCTGCATTCACTTTATCTGGTCTCCCCGGACCCTGCATTCACTATATCTGATCTCCCTGGACCCTGCATTCACTATATCCGCTCTCCCCGGACCCTGCATTCACTATATCTGGTCTCCCCGGACCCTGCATTCACTATATCTGGTCTCCCCGGACCCTGCATTCACTATATACGCTCTCCCTGGACCCTGCATTCACTTTATCTAGTCCCAGGACCCTCCCCAGACCCTGCATTCACTTTATCTATTCTCCCAGGACCCTGCATTCACTATATCCGCTCTCCCCGGACCCTGCATTCACTATATCTGGTCTCCCCAGACCCTGCATTCACTATATCTGGTCTCATCCCCGGACCCTGCATTCACTATATCTGGTCTCCCCGGACCCTGCATTCACTATATCCGCTCTCCCTGGACCCTGCATTCACTTTATCTATTCTCCCAGGACCCCGCATTCACTATATCCGCTCTCCCCGGACCCTGCATTCACTATATCTGGCCTCCCCGGACCCTGCATTCACTATATCTGGACTCCACGGACCCTGCATTCACTAAATCTGGTCTCCACGGACCCTGCATTCACTATATCCTGTCTCCACGGACCCTGCATTCACTATATCCGGCCCTCCGGACCCTGCATTCACTATATCCGGCCCTCCGGACCCTGCATTCACTATATCTGGTCTCCCCGGACCCTGCATTCACTATATCTGGTCTCCCCGGACCCTGCATTCACTATATCTGGTCTACCAGGACGCTGCATTCACTATATCTGGTCTCCCCGGACCCTGCATTCACTATATCTGGTCTCCCACAGTACACAGAACATAGAAATGCAGTTTGTTTAGTAAATATAAACTGCTAAATATCTTTTCTCATCAGCAGTATAAAGCAGTCTTGTGACTTCTATCAGTGTCCAGCAGAGCACTGGTTAAAGCTTGTGAGAGGGAATTTTCATTCTCCCCTGATTGTTCTATGAGGCTGCATGACCCCTGACCCTCTGTCTGGACAGTGCTGATTGGCCCTATGCTGATCACATGCAACCTCTCAAAGAAAAAAAAAAAACTCTCTAGCAATACACACCAAAATAAGCATGTGCAGCTTGCCCCCAAGGCTCTGTAGTATCAGCAGATGGATTGGGGACAGTGGAAGAAGGGGAGAATCAGAGAAGACAGGATCAAACAGGCCTTTTACACAATGTGGACGAATAACCCCTTAGGTTCCACAGTGAGTATAACAAGCATGCTTTACTGCATATACAGACTGATTTTACTGTTGTGGGTTTAGTAACACTTTAAAGTGATATTACACATGTAACCTGCTGTTTGCAGTGGTTTTTGCACAGAGCAGCCCCAAACCTTTTCTTCTCAGGTCCCCTGGCACTCCTGGCTCCTCCTGCTTTATCAGTGCCCCCGATAGCAAGCTGCTTCCTATAGGGTCACTGGTGTGTGCTCACTCCAGAGCCTGGCTCGATGCATCCATAAAACACATTGGCCCCGCCCCCCCACTCTCTCCTCATTGGCTCACTGGCTGTGATTGACAACAGTGGGAGCCAATGGCTCCCTCTGCTGTCTCAACCAGTGAGGAGAGAGAGACCCGGGACAGCCGAGGCTCCCGTGCACATCGCTGCATCGAGAGGAGACTATTAGGGGGGAGCAGAACACAGAAGGATTTTTACCTTCATGCAAAACCTTCAGCCTTTCCAACTACTTTAATAGCACTGTAATCTCTTTTTCTATTGCTTTTCTGCTTCTATGAGCTCTATACCTCTCCTTTCCCCCTCACTTTCATTTGTTTGGCACAACATACACACTGCTCCATGCACACACTACAAATCCCATAGTCCACAGCCGTAGTCCACAGCCATAGTCCACAGCCATAGTCCACAGCCGTAGTCCACAGCCGTAGTCCACAGCCATAGTCCACAGCCATAGTCCACAGCCATAGTCCACAGCCATAGTCCACAGCCATAGTCCACAGCCGTAGTCCACAGCCGTAGTCCACAGCCGTAGCCCACAGCCGTAGCCCACAGCCGTAGTCCACAGCCGTAGCCCACAGCCATAGTCCACAGCCATAGTCCACAGCCATAGTCCACAGCCATAGTCCACAGCCCATGTCTGGAGCAAGCAAGGAACGGTGGCCATGTTCCTACACACAGTGGGAGTTTAGTGTCACTTTAAAGCCATATTAAACCCAAAAACAAAAATGGAATATATTGCGGCTTGGTAATCCTGAGGTGTGGTGGATATATTAGTCTTCTCTTTTTAGGCTTTTTTCTCTTTATTTTTGCTTGATCTGGCCACGAACACACCTCTTGTCTTAGGGGGTCTCCACTCTGAACAGAGAAGCAATGGAGACACCCTTGGACAGCAACAGCTTTTCCTTTGGGGATAAATAAATAAAAGCTGATCACTGTAAGCACCCCTGTCAGTGGTAAATGGTTTGTCTCAGCCCTCTAACTGCCATTTTTGCTGGCCAGCTTGGTCTGTTAAAGGAAGTAAAAACACAGCAGACTTACTGGCCAGATCACCAGCTGAAAATTAAAGGAAAAGAAGCCTGAAAAAGAAAACGAATGCAGCCATCACACCTAACTGGTAAACTGCAATATAAAACATTTTGTTTTTGGGTTTAAGTTGTCTTGTCAAACCATTCCACCTGCTCTCTGACAACAGGCTGGGAGGAATTACCCTACAAGAGCAGGTGGCCCCAAAACTGGAAAGGAAAGCGTGACGTGTCCATATATATCTAGAGGGAGAGCGGTCTGTATGACTTCGGCTGGTATGGAGACACTTGGACAAATGGAAGGAACATCTTTACCAAATAAGGTGATAGGAAGCGTTTTATCCCGCAAGGATCCCTTTAAGCACCTGGCTCTACGCCAGACGCAAAGTGTCTTTATCCAAGGGCACCGTGACCTCTGTCCTAGGAGAAGTTCAAAAAAGCTGTATTATCACAAACTCCAATATAGTGATGGAGAGAAAATGTAATTTCTCAAAGTAACACATGAGAAAAAAAAAAGTGGCCTAGACTAAAAAAAACGACCGAGCACCTTAATCCAAGAATACTGAGTATATTACTTTCCAAGCCTCAGACTGAACAACAATAATATCACAAAAAATAATAATTAATATAAAAAATGATAATAGTAAAAAAAGTGGCCAAGACTGAAAACGACCGAGCACCTTAATCCAAGAATACTGAGTATATTACTTTCCAAGCCTCAGACTGAATAATAAGAATAATAATTAATAGCAATAATGATAATAGTAAAAAAAGTGGCTTAGTATTCTTGGATTAAGGTTCTCGGTCGTTTTTAGTCTAAGCCACTTTTTTTTACTATTATCATTATTGATATTAATTATTATTCTTATTAATCAGTCTGAGGCTGGAAAGTAATATACTCAGTATTCTTGGATTAAGATGCTCGGTCGTTTTTAGTCTGAGAGTATATTACTTTCCAAGCCTCAAACTGAACAATAATAATAATAATAATAATAATAATAATAAAAACAATAATAATAATAATAATTAATACCAATAATAATAATAGTAAAAAAAGTGGCTTGGATTAAATACGACCGAGCACCTTAATCCAAGAATACGGAGTATATTACTTTCCAAGCCTCAGACTGAAACAACAATAATAATAATAATTAATACCAATTATGATAATAGTAAAATAAGTGGCCTAGACTAAAAAAAACCGAGTACCTTAATCCAAGAATACTGAGTATATTACCAAGCCTCAAAGTAATAATAATAATAATACCAAGAATACTGTGGCCTATATTACCTTTCCAAGAATACATTACTTTCCAAGCCTCAAACTGAATAAATAATAATAATAATAATAAATACCAATAATAATAATAATAATAAAAAAAAAAGTGGCCTAAACTGAAAACGACTGAGCACCTTAATCCAAGAATACTGAGTATATTACTTTCCAAGCCTTAAACTGAATAATAATAATAATTAATATCAATAATGATAATAGTAAAAAAAAGTGGCTTAGACTAAAAACGACTGAGCACCTTAACCCAAGAATACTGAGTATATCACTTTCCAAGCCTCAAATTGAATAATAATAATAATTAATACCAGTAATGATAATAGTAAAAAAAAGTGGCCTAGACTGAAAACGGTTGAGCACCTTAATCCAAGATTACTGGGTACACTGCATTCCAAGCCCCATACTGGAAATAATAATCATGATAATATTATTATTATTATTATTAATAATAGTAATGATGATAATAAAAAAGTGACCTAGACTAAAAACAACCAAGCATCTTAATCCAAGAATACTGAGTACATTACTTTCCAAGCCTCAAACCGAATAATAATAATAATAAAATGGTCTAGACTGAAAACAACTGAGCACCTTAATCCAAGAATACTTAGTACATTACTTTTTGACTCTCATACTAATAATAATACTATTACTACTACTATTAACAATAATAATAAATAATACCAATAATGGTAATAATACAAAAGTGGCCTAGACTGAAAACAACCGAGCACCTTAATCCAAGAATACTGATTATATTACTTTCCAAGCCTCAGACTGAATAATTATAATACTAATAATATTAATGATAAAAAAAAGTGGCCTAGACTAAATACAACCAAGCATCTTAATTGAAGAATGCTGAGTACATTACTTTCCAAGCCTCAAACTTAATAATAATATTATTATTATAATAATATTATTATTAATAATAATAATAATAATATTATTATTATTATTATTATAATAATAATAATAATAATAAATGATAATAATAATAATAATAAAATGGCCTAGACTGAAAACGACTGAGCAGTTTAGTCTAAGAATACTTAGTACATTACTTTCTGACTCTCATACTAAATAAAAATACTACTACTAATAAATAATAATAAATAATACCAAAAAATGATAATAATAAAAAAATGGCCTAGACTGAAAACAACCGAGCATCTTAATCCAAGAATACTGAGTACATTAAGTTCCAAGCCCCCTACTGAATAATAATAATATAATAATATAATAATAATAATCGAAAAATGTCCTACACTAAAAACAGCTGAACAC